GACCAGTGTATAAAGTAACTATTAATGTAACTATTAAATTAGTTACTAGTTATCGAAATAATGTAACTGAGCTAAGTTACAGTTACAGATGTAGAGAAAGTAACGAAGTTAAGTTAGAGTTACCAAAAAGAAGTAACTGTAACTTCGTTACAAGTAACGAGTTACTTCCCAACCCTAAATTTTATATAATACTATATATTGATGCGTGCCCATGCATTAAACATTTTTTTACCGGGAATATATCTATTTCTAGAATTGCATTCTAAATATTCGATTTAACGGAACGACATATACGCATATAAGTTCACGTGTTATATACCGTTTTATGTACCTTTTAACGCATGTATCTTTTTCGTGTACGTACATGAGCAAAAACGGAGTGGTTTTAAATATTTATGTGCAGTAATAATCTTTTCGAGTCAGCTTCGTATAAAAAGTGTAATACGCGAATCAAGTATATTGTGCTATTTTGTCTGAAAGGTAACAACGTTTCATATGAAAACTGAAGAGTTATTTTCAAGATTAATCCATTAGCTTCTTTACTTTTCCGTATTTATAAATTGAAATCTGTCTCCGCGTTTAAAAATTATTTTTGTCCCCAAAGAGGTAAATTATTTGATTTACCTTATATTCTGTTTGTTTTGTGTATAAATTCATTGTCCCTTTCCAACGATATCTATTCTTACAGCAATGGTACGCGCGGCACGTGGCATTGCCACGGTCCATGTTGATACATTCTGAGATATCCCAATGAGCCGAGATTCGCCGACAATGGCTTGAGGACAATTTAAATTTCGCACGGACTGTTTTCGAATAGGAGAGAGAATAATGGAGTAGATATCGTCTCCAATAAGATACAACTGAACATTCTTGAGCCACAGACATTTTGTTTTGCGAAATTACAGCTTGAAGTTTTACGACAAAATTAAAAAGGGTGAGAAAATTGCAATCGCTTTTGAATGGCGAGATATATTTCCCCAATTATTATAAATCGTATTAGTTGTCAATATAAATTAATAATTGTTGCACCTTGTCGAAATATTCTCGCGGCAATAAAAAAGTGTATATACTTTGTTCATTCGATGTTTAATTTAATTTTTAATTTAAAGATCACCGGTTTAGAGCGCAAGTTTTATTCCTGTTCGAGGGATTGAAATTTATCAAGATCTGAGGTTCGAGTTTGCAACAGTTTTGCCGCAAGTCGCGCAATTTCTCCTTATCTCACACTACGTTTATCTGCTGATAAAAAAATATCGTAATTAGATTGCATTTTTATGTACTAAAGTTTAAAACTATGTATTGAGTTCAATATTACATTATGGGGCACTCTCTGTTTCATTTCCAGCAACGATATATGTATGTTATATTTACATTGTTAACGATATATTAATTTGTATCCCTGGGCCGGCAGGTCGTCCGCTTATCACTATTTTCCGCGGTTAAATTTGAATGTATGATCGCACGTTAACAACAGTGCGCAACAATAATGTCGATATTGAAGGTTGGTTATGCAAACGAGCCGCAAATGACTAAAATTTATCAAATGACGGCATAATTATCGACGACGTAACGACAAGTCTTGAATAAAAATGCGTACATCGCATTATCGATACCGCGTTTTCGACACCGTGCGTATTTTTAGTATATTGATACTTTGTCTCCGATATCAACTAGGTATGTCAGGTCACTGCTTGCAGACGTTTTCGTAGTGCTCTTGGAATTTAAACAAATTAAGTTGGACATTATTACATTTGCCACAACAATTATAAATCCCTTAAAAGTCGAAACTAAGCTGCCTTTCGGATTCTCGATTAAGCTACAAGCTAACAGTTAAGAGATAAAAAATATACAAAGGTGTGGAAAATATAAGAAAGAATAGAAAGACCGCATCGACCGCAAACTTGAAAAAGAAAATTAAGTAGGGCATTATAGCATTTGCCACAAGAATAGTAAGTTCCTTAAAAGTCGGGACTAAGCTGTTTTTCGGATTCTCGATTAGGCTACGGTTGAGAGATAAAAAATATACAAAGGTGTAGAAAGTATAAGAAAGAATGGGAAGACCGCATCGACCGCAAAATTCGGGCGGATCCGGCGATGCAACGAGAGACGATGGGCGAGAGAGATATCGCGAAACCGCGCGGAGAATGGAAAACGATAAGGCGCATTGTGTGTCATCGCAGGGTGGTTGATTTGCGAGGGAACGAAGTCGATTTGCGAGCTGCGTGCTGGAAATCGTCGAGTGCAATAGCGCAGCGGGGCACCGTACGCAACCTGACCCCCGACCTGATGATAATTAAACAATGTTACGCGCGTTGTTGCGTGACTATCGACGTATAATAGCGGTAATATTTCCCGCCCGAGTGATCCCTGACATGTCGAGACCTTTCCGCGACTTATTTCGAAATGGAAGTCGGATCGATGTGACACCTCTCCGTTTATCCGAGCTTATTAACGAAATTCTATATATAGATACATGAGGCATAATAACGTAACGCGTAATGCATTTGTCGTCGGGTTTTCCTTAGGTGCGCGTTTTCTTTCCGTGTCAATTTATTTTTACGTAGATTTATTTCGCCTAATTTAGTTGTATTTCACATGCTCTATGCCTTATTTACTTCATATCTTTTCTTTTTTAATCCCATCTAGTTTCCAGCCGGTATTCATAGTCGGATCTTATTATTATAAATTACGGACCGCCGTGAATTTATCTAAAGACGCTGTACGGAACATTTCATTGACTACGGGGTATCTGAAGACGGTCTTAAGACGGTCTTGAATGTAAGCCGTGACGGTGAATACCGGCTTCAGTCTCTTTGATCATCCTTTTTGAAGTGAGACGTATTTTGTCAGCCGAAATAATCCCTGTTATCAGACTCTCTCTCCTTTCTAAGAGGATTAGTCGGCTAAGTTAGCGAAAAGAACGGATAAGATCTTTTTGCATCTACACGCAGGTACGATGATCCCCAAATCCGGTGGCGATTACGCGTACATCAGCGATGCCTTCGGACCTCTGCCAGCGTTCCTCTACCTCTGGGTGGCCTTGTTCGTCCTGGTGCCAACGGGGAACGCGATCACGGCACTCACCTTCGCACAGTACATATTGCAACCCGTGTGGCCCGGATGCGAGCCGCCATATGCAGCGGTGCGACTACTTGCCGCCGTGATCACTTGTAAGGCGAAGAAATATCTTTTTTTTTATTTCGTTTATACAGCGAAATATAGAAATAAGGATCTGATAAAATAGGCATCGAGTCACTTTTATAGAAAGCTTTCGGTTTATTGTGTCTTTTAACTAGAGTACACGTGTACTAGACTACACGTGTAATCCGTGTTTTAACCCGTGTACATACAACGAATTTAAAGAATCCTCGTTTACATGAATCCGTGAGCACGCGAATGCGACACGTGTCACGAATATCCGGACACGGATTACGTGTAGGCGTGAATCTTAAAACACGTATCCAAACGAAAGCTCTACTTTTAACCCGGGGACGATCACTTGAGGCTATTTTTATACAATTTGTGTTACAAAAGTTAATAAAGTGTGGTAAGACCGAACGTTATATAACATTTTTCCGTTTTTTTTTACTATTTCTTACAAAATTTAAATACGCAGTCCCGAAAACCTATCGAAAATCCGCAATGCAAAAGCGTTAATTAATTAATACTTTCATATTTTGGAAATACAACTATAAAGTATCAAGCCGCTTAATGTGCTCCTCCCGTTGGTTAAATATTTTTTAAATATTTTTCCTCGTACTTTATTCGGGAAATGTTGAGTAAATCCACACATGTTCTTGAATACTAATAAATGGTGACACAATCAAAAATATATAATATGTAATTAATAACGATGACTTTTAATTGCAGTGTAAAAATAATGGCCTGGTGGCCGTTTATTAAAAAGAAATCGAGTGACTGTTCCCAGATTAATACGGTCGATTTCACTAAATTAAATTTCTGTCAGCTTTTCCTCCTACTTAGCTGATTGACATCTCTTTCAAGAAATCGCTGACGTACGCAATTATTGCAGATATTGCGCGTGTAAATGTTTGTCGGGCCTGGCCAAAAGTTCTTGACGCACGCGTGCAATGAAATGTAACGATCGCGCGAAAACACGATGCAAATGTATGCATCGCCACTTTTTAAATATAGCCCGGAGAAATGTTATTCTCGCTCTCATCAGATTGTTTATGCGCGCGCGGTTTGTGAATGCGACGAATGCAACGCGCACGGCAATTTCATTGTTCTGTCGCGTTCGCAGGTCTCTTGACCGCCATCAATTGCTACAATGTCAAATGGGCGACCAGAGTACAGGACATCTTCACCGGCACCAAGATCTTCGCCCTGATAATCATCATGATGGCCGGTTTCTGGTGGCTCTGCATGGGCCATACGGAGAACTTTCAGTATCCGATGGCTGGCACCAACACTCAGCCCGGTTACATCGCTCTAGCAATTTATTCGGGACTGTTCTCCTACTCGGGCTGGAATTATCTCAACTTCGTGACGGAGGAACTCAAGGATCCCTACAAGTAATTTTCATCAAATTCCGTTGGAATTGAACTGTGACCTTTTAATTCCTTACCGTGATTCTTTTCATTCTGGGGAAAAACAAAAGACAGCGACCCATTTTGGGCCCACAATTGGTAATCGAGTTATTCGAATTGTTCGTAACTCTACTCTGGGAATAATTTGGAGCGACTTCCCAAGTAGAACATATTAGTCATGAAAACATCAAGGTGACTAATTTTTTAATCATTTTTTATGCATCATGGCGACGTCAAAATAGCCCACCGAGAGCACCTATTTGTGACATCATTGAGACATCAAAATGTTGTAAAAATGATCTTGTTTTACAAAGCAAAGTTAACTAAATATTATACATTAAAAATAAATTGAAGTAATATAAGATAAACATAATATATGACTGATCATGTATAAATCTGTAATAATATATTGTTATACGCATCACGAATATCATAAAACGGCAAGGCATACATCAGTTATTGCAAATTAAATCTCGATGTCGATTATTTTATGACGTAAAATTCATTTTAATGTCACATTGACGTTTTTGTGATTAACTTGTTCTACTTGGGTTAACATTTCGGTTAGTGCCTCCTAAGTGAAAGTTATCTTTGCGTTACTGAATATCGACAGAACTAATTGAGAGAATTGATTAGTATTACTTTAAGATCTTGGATATAGATAGAATAGCTGATTTTTAGTTACGCGGGGTAAAATTCGTAAAAGATTAGAGCCACGAACAATCCAAATGATTCGATTACTATTTGTGGGCCCTAAATTGGGTTGCTGTCTTTTTTTTCCCAGAGCATTTGTAACAAAAGAGGAGAATAATACCGGTCGGATCATATTAAGCATCTGCTGATTTTCGGGAGAAAATAGTTGCGCTATTAACTTATATAAAATTAACATCGGATTGTTATTCACTTCTAGAACTCTGTCTTATATTTTATTAGAAATAGCTATCTATACTTTATCGAGACGCGTTTATATCTACGGAGATAACGTACGGAAAGTTTTAACAGAGACTTGCGGAAACTTTCATAATGATCATTGGTTTCTATCACTTTCACAGGAATCTTCCGAAGGCGATTTGTATATCGCTGCCGCTGGTGACAGTGATTTATGTTTTCGCGAACATCGCCTACTTCGTCGTACTCACGCAGGATGAAATACTCGCGTCGAATGCCGTCGCTGTTGTAAGTAAAGCTTTTACGCGTTAATAACGATCGCAGACGTGGAGTATCCGATCGATCCACGATTGGTTCGCTGCCAAGTGATTCGCGCGCTCGCACGAATATTTTATCGTCGAAAGAGAGTAACGTCGACTCTAATGTACAAAGATGGGAGAAATCTCGAAAAATAAATTTTAGACATTTTAAACGGGAACATATTTAACTGCTCCGGGTCACGCGATTTCCTTGTATCAAGATTGACCACAGCAATATTAAGTATTGTGCAATAAATGCGCCGAGCATAGTTTCCCGCGCGTGCACTACTGCTTTTCATCGAAGCAAGAGACTCGGTAAAAATGAAGGAATTACACGGTACCGCGAGAAGTGAAATCGATCTAATACAATCTCTATCTGATATGGGGAAAAAAATGATGCAATCTGGCGGACTGCACTCCGCTAAGATGCTGTCCCACTTTCGCTAGCCTGGCATTAAATCGGAATTTCCTTTCTAGACCTTTGGCGATAAGTTATTGGGCGTTATGTCGTGGATCATGCCGTTCTTTGTGGCATGCTCGACTTTCGGGGCGTTGAACGGCGCGATCTTCGCGTCGTCCAGGTTGTTCTTCGTCGGCGCCCGAAACGGACATCTCCCCACTGCCATTGCCCTCATTAATGTCCGCAACTTGACGCCGATGCCATCCCTCATTTTCCTCGTAAGTATCACGCCCTTAAGAGAGGAAAACAGAAAGGGGCGAATAAGAAAGAATTAATTATAAACTTTTGCAGCATCGATTGCGCAGATTAAATAATTCTGCGAATTAATTGATATAGAAAAATTCCGTAGAGGGAGAACTGTTTAAAAAAAAATGCATATACGGTAAAATTAATCTCCACTCGCCAATTTTCAGAGCATTCAATCGGAATATTAGAGCGGTTGAAAGCAAAGCAAATTTCTTTTATTCTTGAGGCATTTCACATGATATCTTTTAATCGATAATTTTCTCGCAAACAGAACTTGAGTAAATTAAACAAATGTCGCGAACACTTGTTCAATTTTACGGCGATTGATTACAAGCCGTTCACCTTGAAAGTCATATGTCATCTCAATACAGCGAACGTATTTAATTTGCATATTACGTCGATCACCACCGTTAATTTCTTTAGAATTCTTTCACTAGTACGTTATCGTTGTGTAGAAAATCGTCTACGCTTGTACAGTGGCATTTGTCTGGCGATAACAGAAGTGGGTTGCGACAATCATTCACGTAGATAATCGATAGACACCTCGTTAATTATCATCGAGACGAAGATTGATACGACAATATTAGATTTATCGTGAAAGTTGTTTGCTCGAACTGATATATTTGTACATTTCTATAACGACATCAAATCCGAACATTTCGACCATATTACGAGAAAGTGCAAATATAATATTTATCTATACACGGAGAGAATTTTCTCTTAAAATTTACCCTGCAAATCATGTAATCATGGGACAATATGGCATTTCGAAGAATTTTATGAGTTTTTTTCAATTTTACCATACATTCTACTAGTAAATTGTATGGTAAAATTTCAAGAACCTCTCGTAAAATTCTTTGAAATGTCATGTGGTCCCACAAGATTTTCAGGGTGAATTTTAAGAAAAAATTCTCTCTGTTTTATTAATTATTTTACGGAGATTAACTTTTAGCTTCAACATCGATTTCTCCGGAAATTTTGTAGACTCTTCCGTAAAAACATCAAAAGAAAAGATATCATATGTTTTGCAGCTAACTTATAGATACTTTGCCTGAAAGCAAATACCTCCAGCGCAAATACTCAAAGAAGGCGATCGGTACATTTTGCGCCTTACTCGACGTCGAAGTAATCTGCGCTTCACGTGCGATAATTCGGCCCATCCAATTGCCGGGAATAGAATTGATTGACGTATGTAAATTGGGTCCCGCAAAATTACATTAAAGCCGGCGTCTTAATGAAATAAACGAAGTTGGCCGGGCCAGAGCGACAGCGGCACGTTACTATTGCAGCCCGACATCTTGATTTGCGGCTCGTTAATTAAGCGCGATAAATTGATCCTTTCATGTCGCCCTGCGGCCCCGTATCTCTTTGACGATCGGTAGCGGAAGTCTACTCGCGATCTCCATTCCTTTCTGCGAACGAATCAAAAGGATCGACCGCGTTAACCGTATTCAAACTGTTCGAAGTCACGTCGTGCTGTGCACGAGCGATTAACTCGATTCAATTTCTAATGGAGATACAATTAATTGTATAAAATTCAATAGATATATTAATTAATAAACACATAACTCCGAGATGTTGGTCGTCTTGGTAATTTTTGTTTAGTGACAGCTTTTGTGATACAAGAGGTTTAGATAGTCTAGATTTCCGCGTGGATTTCACGTTTCGAAATCTACTTCACTTGATTAAAAAAAAAATTCGATTTCATTTTACCTTTTTCCTTGAAATATGGAATATTAATTTTAGATTTTGTGGCAAAATTGTCCAGAATTAACGCTTGCTAGGGCGCTTTAATTGCCGCGACTCGTGAGCGGTTCTAAAAGCGCCGATACGCACACGGAGCAATTTTTCTATTCTTGTAGTCGGACTCCAATTCCGAGCGTTAAACTATAATTTCCGTTTCTAGTGCATTATCACCCTGGCACTCCTCATCATAGAGGATGTCTACGTACTAATAAATTATGTCAGCTTCGTTGAGGCTCTATTTACCACACTCTCCGTGTCTGGTCTGTTGTGGCTACGTTACAAAAAGCCCGATCTTCAGCGTCCGATAAAGGTAGGCATGATTTTGCCATTTTTAATTTTTCGAAATTGTCCACGCGTCTTACGCCTCTCCGCTTGATCGCAACGCCAAGTCTCATTTCGCTCATTTTATCCCCCAGGTTTCGATAATTTTGCCGATCATCTTCTTCATAATCTGCGCATTCTTGGTCACCTTCCCGTGCTACGTCTCGCCATGGGAAGTAGGCATAGGCGTAATCATAATCCTGTCCGGCATTCCCGTGTACTGTATCTTCATCGATTGGAAAACGAAGCCCGCCTGGCTCGTCAATGGATCCCGTAAGTTAGACGCGAGTTATCGAAGCTTGTTAAAATGACGTGCTGTACATACATAATTATATTCACGTTTACGTAATAAGCTATATTATTATATCTTTTATGCAGATAATTTCAACATGATGTGTGCGAAGCTGTTCATGTGCGTGCAAGAAGACAAAACGGAGTGAGTGCGTGAGACTCGTGATAATTGTGACGAAAAATTCCAAGCTGTGACATCCGATTTTAAGAGTGCATTCCGCACGCATCGTACTTTTTTTTAGATATATGGAAGTTTAGATAGTTGTGAATACATAAAACGTCGATCGTTATCGTCTGTCGATCAATTGCATGATTGCAATAAGTATTAACGATAATGTGCGAGCGAGCGATACAGCAGTGTCGTTAGATTCATAATTTTTATATAAAAAATATATATATTATTATATATTGGCGGAGGTAACTTTTATACATATATATTCGTGATTATTTATTGTTTAATAAGTGCCTGTACGCGCCATCGCTATAATTTATTAAGGAGTAAATTAAATTCAAGTGCCAATTCTTGACACTGCCCGGCGTATTCGAAATGTACGTTTCAAGAACATATTTAGGATAAAAATTTTTCAATCATGTAATCCGTACACGCATATATGTGCCACATTTTCATTGGCCACGTTGGATTACACAGGCATAATATGAGACAATAGAGCTATATTTATGACGGTATAATATAATGAGATCTAGCAAGATTATTAAACAATGTAAAGAGAATTACGCGCCTGCGCAATACTATTTCGATGGGTCCAATTTTTAAGGACTAATTGTAAGTCAATTATAGTATAATTTATTCGCATTTATGAGGACTGTCATCATGTATCTAATCATTCAAATTTGAATTCAGTGAAATTACTGATTTCCTCAATTGTACATGTATATATAATGGAGTAATGTAAAGTTTACACATTGCACGTGAATATAATTACGATGAAATGTTTACAAGGGATACGTAAAGGATTCCGCATTGATTATTAATTGTACATACAATGTTATGTAATTTTGATAATCATTTATGAGTTAGTTAAAATTTTCTTTCCCAATGAAAAAATAAATTTTCTAAGAAAGTAGACCTTTTCTTACTTTTAATTACCTAAGGAATACATATAAATCGTACGTGTTAAATAAATTAATCATCTGTATGTTAATTAATCATTATCGTGAACATTGATTGATTATGACATTCACAGTTCATTGAATCTGCAAATTAAATATCATGGATAAAATTTCCGAAAGCGTTTAAAAAAAGACGGAATGTTTGTACAGTTGTTTGGAAAACTTTATATTACTCGCCCTACGAAATGACGTTCACGCTTTTGAATATGGACTATAAATGCGTCAAGTATCATTGCTTAAATGATATTCGCGTTCTAATCAGACAACTGCTCAAGTACCAGTAGGGGATTATCGTGAAAGAAATTGTATTCGAAAATGACTGATTATGTGCCTTAAACGCGAGCAAAGAGACTACGTATTCTGTTTCACAGAATAGGGTATTTTATACAAAACGCATAATAACTAAATAGTACTAATGGCGAATCGTGAATAAGAGGAGATGCGTCTTAAAGAACATAGATACAACTAACAGATCTTTGAATAGCAACTTTATTCCAACAGATTTGATAAAACGGCATTGTAAATCGCTTTTAAGTATAACTTGCAATTAGTTTATAAGCTGTTAACGGAGATAGGAAAGATTAGCACTCTCACGTGCTGTACATTTTTACTCGTCATTCCTAAACGTCTAAACGTAGAATGTGATGTGTGGTGGAAAAGACACGGTATATATACGCCTGCCGTTAAACTACTGCAAATTACTACGGCAAATAGGCCAAAAGTACTGTTAATATGCGCCGAAATAAGACTAGTAACGGCTACCCGTTATGTATTTGTAAATATTTCATTTATATTTAACCTCTGTCTCTCGTATTTACTTTTGAAAATCTTGTACAGATACTTCTCGGCGTCATATTAAAGTCCAACCATTTGAAGAATTAATTGGGTCTCTTATTAATCTAGATACGCTTCGTGATACGTTCATTCATGATGAGCTGTAGCGTCTACCTTGTCGCGCAAACCTTCGCGATTGAGTGTTAATCTGAAGTTTTGCAAAGGGACGTTAGATACTTCGAACTTGTATTTATTTGGCACATACAAGTATATGCCCAACATAACGACTGTATGTACAAACACTTCTGCGAATCGAGTCGATCGAGAAACATATAGAAAATCGTTTATACATAATAGATAGTATATTGTTGGGCCTTAGAAAAGGACATAAACTATCGTAGAAGCTCATAATCAAGACTTCCGCGGAAGAATTTGGACGCAAATATCTTTTTCTCTAAGATATCAACATAAACTAAAACTTCACAAAGCGAAGAACCAAGCCGTACTATTTAGTCATATTTTCGTTGTTCGTATTTACACATTCCATCAAGTCTTCGATTATTTAACAGCAACAGTATCTCAGTACACATTATTGAGCAATTTCTTTTCTTCGTTCATTTATTGAAGTTAATGAAGTAGAATACTTTGTTATGAGCTTCCGATATTCAACGGGTAAATCTTGCAAGCTTTTGCCGAAAAACGCGACTAAGGATGATATATTGTAACGATTCCATATATTTTATCTTAATAATTAATTTGGCATAATGACCTAGATGTAAGAACTCACAAGAAAACTTCGAGATCTTTAAGAAATGCCCTTTTGACGCGCAGAGGATTTAAAAAAAAATCACATCTTTGGCATATTAACGATTGAAGTTAGTACTTTTGTACTCGGCACTCGTCTCTTCAACGCAAAAGGGACAGTTAAATGAAAAATGGAAAAGTATAAAGATCTTGAAATTCTCTTTTTTATAGATTCCTACGTATTTTCATTACAAAAATTAAAAAATGACTAAAAAAACTTCCACACGCGCTTTGTTCACCTGACAAGCTCGGTGCTCTTCCTGGCTACATCTGCTTGTGTGCATTCTTCTTGCTGCAATTAGGCAACAAAATTACGCTTTGGTTTTCCTAACGCAACAAAGAAATCATTGCCGGCGCTTCCGGGGAAATCGGGGAGGAAAAGTCACGTCGATTCGAGCGCCTCTTCTCAAGCAAGAAACGCAGATCTCTTCCGTCGCTTTCTACGATGAAATTTTCTGCGGTCAGCCCTCGGCAAGCGGCGGCGTCACCCAACCGTACTTCTCATGCGTCCTCACCAGGTTCTTGAATGTCTCCTCGGCCAATTGTCGATTGTACTCCTTGTTCGGCTTAGGCACCCTCGCCACTTGTGCCTGTCGAGATTAAAACTCGCATAAATCTGAGAAATCTGTAGGTACACGTCAGTAATCAATTTTTTGTTAACTAATGATTGAAAGATCCTATACCGATCTAACATTCTCCGTGTCTAATTAATATTATATGATTGAAGGAATTAATTATTTGGTGCTCAAAACGCTGCTCACCTGGCCCTTCACGACGCTGGCCGCGAACTGCATGATCATGGACTCGACGCTATACGCGCAGCACCATCCTCTCGGCGTGAGAAGCTCCATGCAGATAGCACCGCCATGCATCACGAAACCCTGATCGATCCTCGGCGAGATCACCCTCATAAAGGGCGGCGCAAACGGGAACTCCTTCGGAAAAATCACGTGCAACAGTATGTGAGGTATCTTCAACTCGCGCATATCGGCCGCCAGCTTGCTGTCCGGGTCGATCTTGTGCAGCCGGACAAACCACTCGAAAACATTGTCATTGACGAGCTCCACGGTGAAGGCGGAGTCGACACGGTGCGCCCTTTGGATCCTGTTGAACTCCTTCATTAGCCGACGCAAACCGATGTCCTTGTCGCAGGCGGCCTTGCACTCATTGTTGTCCTGCACGAGTAAAGTCTGCTTTGAAATTCTCAGGATAGCCAAAGTATACGGGAACTACGCAACTACAGATAAAGAGGCTGCATTATTGTGCTTTGTGTCCACTAAAGAAAAACAGCGATTAGATCTTCTTGCGATTTCTTTTAAACTGAACCGATATCGAGGGAACTCCATGCACCTTTGCGGACTTCTTCGCCTTGAAGAAACAACTGCGATCGGCATGAGTGGAGTCGGAATTTTCAAGTATCGGCCCATCCACTGGAGTGACGGCATCTGGACGGTGGTGGCGATTCAGGAGTCTCCTCGATGGCGAGTTGGTCGAGCTGCTGGCCCCCTCCGGCTCGGCTATCTTATCGGAGGACCGGAAGAGCTTCCGGATGGCGGCCACCACCTTCTCCTTGGATTTCGTGGACATGGTGGAAGTGCCGTGTCGCTACTTTACCGGGTCTCGCTACTCTGCGTTCAAAACGTTTTTATTTGTCAGGGACATTTCCAAGACTATTTCACGCATGAAATTACAACGGTCAAGTTAGCAATACTCTTGGCTAAAGAAAAGAACTTAGAAATGCTCATGCTGCGAGGGAATTACAGGCACTTGTAGGAAAAATGATCAGTGAAGTGTAAGTGGTTTGGGGTATGGCAGGAAATCAATGTAAGTAAAAAAAGGTATGATTTAGTTTTGTGAAAAAATGATTAAGTTTATTAATGAGATATACAATAAGTACAATAACGCATAACAAAGAGTGATTCCCTCAACTTGACATTAATTGTATCAACTCCAGACCTTATCCCGATTAATTTCCCTAAACGAAATGTGCACAAACTGCTGTAAACATCCTGGATCATACGCAACAACATACATTTCCCGAAAGTGAGATTTCGTCTAAATATCTTAATCTTGGAGGTACCTTAAGAACTCTCGATAGCAATTTACCACTGAATTTTCAGTTGCTCGAAGTAGAAAAGTTGGAAACGCTCATAAAATATCTTTGACTTTTCAGACGCTGGTGGAATTTTTTCTACATTACTCCGGCCGATCTTCTCGGCAATTGACCGGGAAATTCCTATCCGCCGTGTCAACTCCTGTCTCCCTCAAGTTATCAAAACTATCTACTTTCGTGAGAAAATCCACCGACGATGTCAAAACTTGTTTTAAAGTCGCGCGAGGGTGTGGAGGGTCGAAGCCCCTCGTACGGAATGTTTAGCCACTCGGAACGAGCCGAATACCGGATTCACTGCCTCGCAATCGTAACGTCAGACTCACCCATTCTATCATCGGTGGTGTATCGCTTACGGCTGACGAATTGTCAGCGCGCGGCTATTGTGTACTACGTAGGTACACGCGAGAACGGTGAAGATGCGACCGCCAAACATGGCGCAGTCTCCACCCTCGTCGAGCCACCAATCGACGTCGGCCACGAGACCGTGCGAGGGGATTAGACGCCGACGTCAACGATACCGGCGCTACCGTCGTGAATGGCAGTCGGCTCCCTTTTATCGATCCAATTTGCATGACCGATAGCGCGCGGCTGATAGCGCGAACTGTGCGCGCAAACGGCAAACCGCTGTTTTTTTTCCCACCGATAAAGACCAGGGTCGGTTTTACTGATAAAGTTTATCAGAATTTAGGAGCAATTGTAAATCTCCTCTGATCGTTATTACATCACAACCGTTGCTTGCGCTAAAAGCTTCAGAGATCCAATTTGTTGTCAACAAACGATAACTGTACTTCGAGGTCTTATCGAAAGAACACCTGCAAATTCGTCCAAGAACACGTTATTACAATTCACTGGCGGTAGGAACGGGACGATCTACGTAGCGCAAGAAAGAAAGGGAAAATCTATGAGCGTTTTGCGCGCGCGAAACGTGGAATTCATTTACCGGATGGATTTACTCGCCATTTCTCTTTATGTATTCGCCCACGGTCTTACAATATACGTGTTCAAGTATCTATTGGCGAGCAGAAACACTAGGATATGTTTGGCCACGTATGCGAATACGAGCAGGCACGACAGATACTGAATCCACGCCCATTTTAATTCCTCCCACATGCTCGGCTGATAGTAAATAAAATTCTCCGTGTAGAACAATTCGCCGATGACGACCATCGGCTCGTCGCTGGAGAAGCCCGTTCTCCACGTCACCCGCTCGCTCGTGATCCTGGCAGAAACTGCAAGGCAGACACGCCGTCAATAATTTTTTTCACGTATTTATGACAAATTAATTTTTCTCTTTGTGAAAAATATAATGAGTATACGTACACTTCCGGTTGTAATTGTGCAACAGCAGCTCGGATAGAGAATAATCGGACAGCTCTATGCTGTGGTTGTACGTCTCGTAGAGGCCCCCGCTGCGCAACAGTCCCTTCTGCCGTAGCTCCAGATCGCCGAAGAATCGTATCTCTTGAGCCTCGTGGCTTAGCATCTGATGAAACACGCCGATAGATTCTATCGTCGCTTGGATGAGATGCTGTGAAACGAAGATAGACCGTTAAACGGGGAACGAACTTACGAACGGCGCGAGCCTACCTTTAGTTGGAAATTGAAGAACAGCAAGAGTCGTAGAGATTTCACTGGCTTGTCCGTATAAAAGTGAGCTTCAAATCTTAGCGTGTCCTTTTGCCCATCGTTGTTTAGATCGGTCTCCCGTACCTTAGTAAAAGAAATACCAATGTAAAATTAGTAATAATAAATAATACAAGCGATTGCTGCTTTAATACAAAAATATTATACAATGTTGCACACAATCTTCGCGTCGGAAACCGAGGAAGAGTCGTAATCAAAGGCTTGTGTTCAACATGTAAATATAAGACATGATCAAAGTGCTGACGCAAGTGGTTCGCGAAAAAGTCCCAATTTCATTTTTTCAACACTTAATATATCTTTTTAATAAACAACCTTGATTAGTGCGCAGCGATCTGTGATATCGTTTTCCTTGTACGTCGTAAAAGTGGAACATACAATGGGCTCCTCGAAGGAGTCGACTTCCGCGAGTAACAGGTACTTGTATATGAAATGCACATCAGGCATTTCCGCGTGCATCCGATTTTGTAGCCAGATACCTAAAATGAAAAAAGAAACAAACTTTAAGTACAAACTCCGTGAATTACTGCGCGCGTGTAAAATCGACGATGCGAAAGTCGGACCGATTCTTACCTCCCGCTTTGTAAATTATAAAAAGCGGCGTGATCAAGGATAACACGATGAACAGGAAGACAACGATCGAGGCGCAGGAGTGTAATCTACTTTTGTACTTGTAAGTGACGGAACTTGAAAATATCTCGATCGCTGCCATTGTGATGCCGCGCTCGTCGCCGCAGCAACGTCCACAGGTGCGAAGGCACGTAGACACGGGTGGACGCAGCTGTCGTTTTATGTGGGGACATTGTAAGCTCTCATCTGTGCGTATTCCCTTCCAGAGAAGGACATGGCTTGAAGAAGAAAAGGCATTACCAACATCGGCGTTTTCTTGACCGTATCTGGCAATTTTAATAATACAGAAAATTTATTGCGAAAACTATATTAGTCGCAATAACAGTATAAACTAATATTATCATATGCCTCGGTGGTCGGAATTGGTGAGACGCCCGCCTAGAGTGTAGGGGAAGTCCAGGTTGAAACCCTGGCTGAGGTAATATTTTTCGCAATAAATTTTCTGTATTATTAAAATTGCCAGATACGGTCAAGAAAACACTGATGTTGTTAATTACTGCTGGCGACATTTAAGAATATTGGCTTTCAAGCTTTCGCGGCTGCCGACGTTTCGCAAACATTGCAGTTCCCATCGTCAGGACTGGGAGACTCTGATACTTTCAGTATCCATTACGCCATTACGACTGATTTAAGAATATTCTTATTAAAAGGCATTACGTTGTAAAAGTAAAATATTCCTTTGCGGTTTTAAACTCTGTTTGCATTCTAATGTTATTTATCGTCATATTGGCATCTTGCACTGCGTTGGAAAGAAAGAGAAGGCGAAGCAAGGGGGGAGGGGGGAGGGGGGGGAGAGAGAGAGAGAGAGAGAGAGAGAGAGAGAGAGAGAGAGAGAGAGAGAGAGAGAGAGA